GTTGGGTTTGAACTTTCTCGTTAGTAGAAGGTTCTACTAACCTGGTGACTGATCTTCTGGTTAGTAGCTAAACGTCTTACCCACTACGCCACCAGAGGTCCTGGCATAGAGGTTGTGAAATATTCTTACTAGAGATTTATGAACATTCTTTTAAAAAGAATCTAGATATGCACTAAATAAACAAAAAACTCACTGCTGTCGAGTCGTTTCCTACTCAGCAATCCTTCCTTGGGTTTCTGAGGCAGTATCACTGTGGAAGTAGATTGCCCAGTCTTCTTTCCAAGGAAGAAGAACACAGCAAAGAGATAACTATAGGGAGGACGTGGGAAGAGAGCTGTTACATTGTGGGACTGAAGTCAATGTCATGAAACAAAATGTGTAAGAACTGCTGTATGGAAAATGCATTTGCTCTGTAAACTTTCACTCAAATCATAATACGTATTAAAAAAAAAGAACCCAAGAAACAAAATCTAGAGATGCTTGTAATTTAACCTGTTTCATTTCATTTAATGGCTTCTGAGTTTCATCAGTACATTTTAAAATACACTAAAACAGTGGTTTTCAAACTTTAGCATACATAGCAATCACCTAGGAAAGATTATCTCACATAAGCCTCTGTGTCTGATGTCTGACAGTGGGTAAGGAATTTGCATTTGTTTAAGCTCCTTGCTATATTCTGATGCATGTAATCTTTAGACTATATTCCTCTTCTAGGAATAGGGGTGGGTACCTTAAGTGCTTCCAAGTAGAAGATGATTCATTTTACTTAATTTCCAACCACCAGATGTGGTGTCTTAAGACTCTGTTGACCTTTAGCTGACAAGATAATAACTCCTTTAATGAACATAAACATGAGGTTCTAGTAGTTCTTATTGAGGTAGTAATTATATTTAAAAAGTATAAAATACAGAGAATAAAGATTTCTAACATTTGCATAGTACTTTGTATTTTAAAAAGAACACTTCATCATGTATGTCCTATTTTCATTTCATCTTAAACAATGGAGTTGGTACAATAATTTTAGACAAATTAATTTTGTTGGTTTCTAATATGTCCCCAAATCTCAAGGAACACTACCAGCAATCAAACTGCTCTTATGTCACCTTAGAGCCTCATTTTGAAACCGAGGTAATATTTTTGGTTGAATAAAACATCTTTTAAAAAAGATGTTAACTTTTTAAAAAATAAACTCTCTATGCTAGATGGAGATTTTTTGCATCACAATTTGTGAAAAAGAGGTGGATTTGAAAAATCTGTCACTCCTGTGGTGTTGCACTCAATCTATCGAGAAAGTGCTATATGAAATGTCCAGACTTTGGTTAAACCTTTCTGCTGTGTAATATACATGTCTTCCCATCCCATCAAGTTAGCCTCTACTCCTCCCTCACATCACATCAAATGACATTTTGTCAGAGATCTGTGACCATTCTTTCTAAATTAAGTCACAGTCTTGTTCCTTTTAAAACACCCTATAAATTTTCCTTTGGTGCCTTCACTAAAATTGTTATTATATGATTTTATGTGGATATTTATTTAATGTCTGTATCCCTAGTAGACTGTGAGTTCCTCAAAGGCAGAGATTGTGTTTTATCAAGGCAGCTAAATCAAAACCCTAGACTTGTAGCCTGGCATAAAGAATCACCTAATACATATATGTTGAATGAGTGGATAGATGGATGGTAGAAAAACATCTGATTGGAAAAGGCCAGAGTGTTTCATATTGACAAACATCAAAGTATACCAGAACACTGTTTTTCTTATATAGAAGTGAGCAGTTAAGCTAGGACTAATTTTAAAAGAGCAATGTTGGGGAAGTGCCACTCAGTTCACTAAATTAATATAGGTAGAGAGAGTTTGAGACTACAAAGTTAGCTAGAAAAACGCTGATTGAGGAACACTAAGAGCATAAAAAAAATCCAGTTTATTTTAACTGTTTTCTACTCTACAAATGCCTCATGAATAGAATTGGTGCACTATAACTTTTGACATAGCCTGAAATACTGGAGACTCAGTGTGGATGGTGGGGATGGTGAATGGTGGGCGAAGGAATCTAGAGGTACATCAGTCAAGGCTTTATGACAAAAGAAGATTTCATGGGGAATTTGAAAAAAAAAACATAACACTGAAATCTATAGATAGCATTCTAATTACATTGAGGCAATTTATAAATCAAGGATAATTGATTCTTCTTCCAAAAGAGGAAGTATAATTATATGTAGGGTCTTAGTGATACTTAGTGTTACAATAATTACTTGATTGAAAAAAAGAATTGTGTATGAATTTGTACAAAGGGAAAAGGAAACTGAGTGAAAACATTTCTAATCTCTCTCAATACATCCGGGAAAGCAAATTTTAAGATCATAACATGAAAACCAAGGTCAGATGGGTGATACACATGGGAAAGCAAGTTAAAACCATGTAAATGGCATGCTTTATGATATCGTGGGGACGATGTACTATCTAGTACACTGCATAGAAACATTTCCATATTTTGGGATGCTTCTTTAAGGCAGGTAGTCACAGTCCTAACATGTTTTGGTTCTTTGGTATGTTGTTAGTTGCTGGAGAGTTGATTCTGATTCATGATGATCCCATATGTTACAGAGTAGAACTGCTCCATAGGGTTTCCTAGGCTGTAATCTTAATAGAAATGAGCCTTGTTGGTATGATGGTTAAACACTCGACTGCTAACTAAAAGATCAATGGTTAGAATCCACCAGCCACTGCATGGGAGAAAAATACCTGGTAGTCTGCTTCCACTGGAATCTCAATGGGGTAGTTCTGCTTTGTCATACAGTGTCAACATGAGTTGAAATTGCCTTGACAACATCTAACAGCCATCTTAATGGAAGCAAATCTCCAGGCTGTTCTTCAGTACTGCTGAGTGAGTTAGAACTGCCAATCTTTAGGTTAGCAGTTGAGCACAAATGATTTACACCACTCAGACTTTAGTTCTTTGGTGTATCCCTTACAAATATGACAGATGAAAACTTGCCAAGATAAAAAAGGTAGTTTTAATCTGTTCTGAAATCTGACTTTTTTCAATTGCCTTGTTGATAAGTAGATAATAGTGGACAGCTTTGAGCTTATTATTTAAAAATAAGGGCCTCCCTTCACTTGACCTCCAACTTCTGAATGATTCATGTTTACACATCAATGGGCAGTCTCTTGAGCTCAGTTATCCTGCTTTATCTGAGAGCACTATCTGAGAACACAGGAGATCTGCCAGCTGCTTTGAAAGCCTCAAGCACTGACTGCAACAGTGCCATTCACTCAAACCACTGAGCTTCAAGTTTTCGGATATTTAATATTAATTAATGTAAGTAAATGTTTTTAACATATTTCTACTCCGCATTTGAGTTGGGTAGTTAAAGGATCAGAATCTAGAGCTAAATTTTTCAAGTTAGGATGTCAGGTTGGTCACTTTGCATCCTAGGACTTGGGAAAGGGATTTACCTCTTGCCTAGTATTTCTTAAGTGTAAAATGGGGGTGGCAGTAGTGTTGTAGAAACACAATGGGTAAGCACCTACTGCTAACCAAAAGGTTGGCAGTTTGAAACAATGAGCCACTCCACTAACCATTTTCCTAAAGATTACAGTTTAGAAAACCCTATGAGGAGTTCTATTCTGACAAACAGGGTCACTATGAGGTAGAATCAACTGCAAAGCACACAACAACAACAGTAGTAGTACTGTAAGGAGCTCCTACTAACCAATAGTTTGAACTATTGGTTTGAACAACCCCAGGGACTTCTTAGAAGAAAGACCTGGTGATCTGCTCCTGTAAAAATTAAAACCAAGCCCATTGCCTTTGAGTAGATTGTGAGTCACGGGGACCCCGTACAAGAGAGTAAAACTTCCCCATAGAGTTTCCAAGGCTGTGATCTTTATGGAAGCAGACTGGCACATCTTCGTCTCGTGGAACATAGGGTGAGTCCAAACCACTGATCTTTAGGTTGGCAGCTGAGTGCTTAACCACTGTGCTGCTAGGGCTCCTCTGGAAAGATGGCAGCCTAGAAAACCCTATACAGCAGGTCTGCTCTGTCAGTGAGGTCACTATGAGTCCAAATTGATTGGACGGCACCTAACAACAACAGTAGTATTGTTATGAGTATTAACATGAGTTGATTATATATAAAATGCTTTCAAGAGTATCTGGTCCTAGTGAGCAATGTATAGGGGGTAACTGTTATTATCCTGTATTAGTAGTTACAGGTTATTCATGTATTATTGACTGAAGAAACTAAATAGAAAATTGATTTAAAAAACTATAACTTTGTAATATGTTACTCTAACATTTTGAAGTTATAGTTCACCAGGGGAAGAAAACCAACTTTCACTGATTTCTTCATTCTTTTTTTCTCTTGCTAGTCTTGAGTCTATCCTTCTCTTTGGATTTGCTTTTTGGGACAAGTCTCCACCATGAGCTGATATAATTTAGATTGTAATGTTTCTCTCAAAGGTGTTTCTTTTTTTTTCCCCCAGGTATTTTAAACACTTTTTTATAAATACAAATATATTAAACTTTTACAATTTAGAATCTGTTTAGGTGGATTCAAAATTTCTATCATTGTGAAATGTATCTTATATTTATAGGTGTGAAAAAACTAGAAATGAAGTTTTTAGAATCATAAATAAAATCTGGAGCCACTGCCTAAAGTTAAAATTTATTTATTTTTTTAGTCTGTTTCTCTTAAACTTTCTTTTGGGGTGATTTTATTTTCTCTTCACTAGTACATTTTATTGGATAAAATACTGTGGAAATTATTTTGTAACTTAAAGCAAACCTTTTAATCTATGCTAACTTGGAACATGTTACATCATAAACTCTAATTAATATTACACTCAACTCTTCTTTTATTTGAGTAACATCCCAAGTGAACTCTCCAAATACGCCTTTTTTCCTCCTGTTTTATTTACAGAGGTCAGTGTTCATAGATTCTGATCCAAGTATGTTATGCTTCATATCATTCTCTTTTTGTTTCTTTTTTCTTCTACAGTTTATTGCTTTTGCTTCTTTATTCTTCATCCTGGTTTCCATCACAACCTTTTGCCTGGAGACACATGAAGCTTTCAATATCGTTAGAAACAAGACAGAGCCAGTCATCAATGGCACAAGTGTTGTTCTACAGTATGAAATTGAAACGGATCCTGCCTTGACGTATGTAGAAGGAGTATGTGTGGTGTGGTTTACTTTTGAGTTTTTAGTCCGTATTGTTTTTTCCCCCAATAAACTTGAATTCATCAAAAATCTCTTGAATATCATTGACTTTGTGGCCATCCTACCTTTCTACTTAGAGGTGGGACTCAGTGGGCTCTCATCCAAAGCTGCTAAAGATGTGCTTGGCTTCCTCAGGGTGGTAAGGTTTGTGAGAATCCTGAGAATCTTCAAGCTCACCCGCCATTTTGTAGGCCTGAGGGTGCTTGGACACACTCTTCGAGCTAGCACTAACGAATTTTTGCTGCTGATAATCTTCCTGGCTCTAGGAGTTTTGATATTTGCTACTATGATCTACTATGCCGAGAGAGTAGGAGCTCAACCTAACGACCCTTCAGCCAGCGAGCACACACAATTCAAAAACATTCCCATTGGGTTCTGGTGGGCTGTAGTGACCATGACTACCCTGGGCTATGGGGATATGTACCCCCAAACGTGGTCAGGGATGCTGGTGGGAGCCCTGTGTGCTCTGGCTGGAGTGCTGACAATAGCCATGCCAGTGCCTGTGATTGTGAACAATTTCGGAATGTACTACTCCTTGGCAATGGCGAAGCAGAAGCTTCCAAGGAAAAGAAAGAAGCACATTCCTCCTGCCCCTCAGACAAGCTCACCTACCTTTTGCAAGACAGAATTAAATATGGTCTGCAATAGCACACAGAGTGACGTGTGTCTAGGGAAAGACAATCTACTTCTGGAACGTAACAGATCAGGTAAGGCACAATTTCAAATGCATGCTACTAAATACTTTATAGACCAGTATCTTAGGTGGAAAGGAGCTTTTCTTATTTTCTGCAACTGTTCCTGAGTTCTCAGCCCTATCCCTTCACAAAACATTTCTGAGTATGTCAGGCTTCTAGATGACTAGATTAAAGCATTTCTAAAGGAACTTCAAGTAGAAATCTGCATAGCTGGTCTATAGAGTTTTCCTGCTTTAGTGGGAATGCCCTTTGCTGATGGTACCAATGTTTTCTTTTGCCTGTTTGTCGCTTTTGTGCCAATGTTTTGTTCCCTGCACGATGTGTTGGTATGATATCGGCCATGTTCCACCCTTCATCCTCAAAATGTTGATCTCCATATTGTTTGGCTTGGTGTGTTTGTCTCAGTTTTACCTCTGCCACGTGGTGGTGTGCATCTCAGTATAATCCATAAGAAGCAATTATTTAAGAAGAGTAGATGTTTTCATTGCAAAGGCCTGAAGACCAAAGAGGTGACATGGGAGATAGTCCTTTTAGTAACAAAGCTCTTGCCTAGTAATATTCTGGAGAATTGGCTAAATTTTCATATTCTTAACTTAGGTTGAGCATCTCAATACAATCCCTTTGGTGAAACAAGATACCATATAATATAATTAACCCATTAGTTAGGGTACAGAGGATCCGTTTTGGGTAATAAATAGAAAGTTATTCCTCTATGGATTTTCTTTTTTATGCACTATACACTGGCCTTTGCTCATCCCAGAGCTGAATTTTTGGTGATTTACTGCCTGAGAGTAGGAGAATCACTGGACCCTTCCACTATCATAGATAATCTAGAGCTCATTGCCTGTAAATTGGTATTTAGTTTGCCAAAATGTAGTCAGATGACAGATAGTGTCACCTCTAGTCTGTCATATCTAGTACAGAGGAAATATTTTGTAGACTAAACAATTTAATTAGTTTTTAGTCTAGCATGAAAATTTCAGGCATGTACATTCCCTAGAACTTAGATATATTTAATTTTTTGGTAGAAAAATAACTTATGACAATCATAAGTGAATAGTTTCTCACAATCAGATATAACACAAATTAAACAAACAAAAAAGACAAGTGATATTTTTATAGGTCTCTGCTTAGCTTCCAGAAGTTTTTTTGGGTAAATGGGAAAAAAAAAAAAAAAAAAAGCACTGGCTCGACTGCTGTTTAAAACTTTTATTCATAGCCCTCACGGTCATGTAGTAGATTGTTCTGCAAAGTCTTTCAAATACATATCTGGAAACTATTATGCCAAGAATATCGTTAAGAAAGATGGAGTTTAGTTGGTACTGCTGCTCTCATCAGAAGATCTGTTCTTATGGAAAAGTATACACTTTTTCAAAAGAAAATCATTGCTATAACATGCTAGTATCTAGGAGAATGATACTGCAAGAGTCTTTGACTAGCATACAGAAGTAAATAATTTTTCAAAGGCATTTAGAAAAGTTAATCTTGATCCATTGTTAAGCTCAAATATTTTTAGCATAAAATCTGAGTCCTGACATGAAGTTTGTGTGTTTTGAGAATATTTTTATTAAGATTTTTGAGAGAAAAAATTAGTTTCAGAGAATAATGAAAAGCATGTGCTGTTATAGAACTATAAACACTTACAAAAGAGTTTATTCTTAAATATGGTCCAATTTTTAAGATTCCTATTCACACTAATGAGATAGCATGTGAAAATAGTAAAATTTATTTCTCAAAAATTAAATATCTTGTTGGAGTTCATGTTAGTTTTATTTAGCATACTTATGTTGAGATCATATTAGTTTTTGTGTAAACCAATTTCCTATTAGGTAAATCTAAAATGGAATTAAAGTGTCTCAAAGCAGAGTTCTCTGTTCTCTTTTTTCACCTGTATTTCCATTTGGCTCCATGCAAATTTTTATGATGAGTGATGAAATTCTTTCTCTTTTCTTATCGTGATGTGATTATTGTGTTTTGTATATGGCGTGACTGGACTACAAGCATTCAGTGTAAACTCTTTGTACTGTCTCATTTCCTCATTCATCACTGTCTGTCCATGGGCATGGTGCTGTGACCAGTGTTATCAGGTGACGACAGTACAGGAAGTGAGCCGCCATTATCACCCCCAGAACAGCTCCCCATCAGACGCTCTAGTACCAGAGACAAAAACAGAAGAGGGGAGACATGTTTCCTACTGACGACAGGTGATTACACGTGTGCTTCTGATGGAGGGATCAGGAAAGGTAGGCATGCATTTAATCATATTATCACAGGTGACTTAGCAGTTGGAGTAATCTAAAATGCTCATTCATCGTTTTCCAGGAGAGACTGCAAGTAGTGCTCCTTTCCTTCATCCGTGGCATCTTCTCACATTATAAACATTCTTAAATATATATCATAACGACATATTTGATTTTATATTTAAAAGACATTTCATCTTTCTTTATCACATCATTTGTTTGTGTTTGTTTTCATTTTAGTTTGCCATATATTTGTGGGCAGAATTGTAATGAGATGTTTAAAAATGAAATCACCATCCATTCATTTTAATATAATGTACTCAGAAGTCTTTGAAGATTATCTTTTCCCCCCATAACTGTTAAAACTCTAATAATCACTAATTGGCTGTATGTGTATATTTGACAAGTAATTGATTATTATAAAGCAATTGTAAGTTTTTTTTTTTTTTTTTTCCCCAAAGCACAGGTTAAACGCACTTCAATTAAATTTCTTATTCAGTACTTGACCAGTTTTTGCCAGTGGTTTGTCTGAGTATCATAAGGTTTGCATAGTTACAAGGTTCTCATTCATACAGAGCAGTCTATCTAATCACTTGAAAGACTGTTTATGTTCTAGAAAATTAGAATGTCTCTTCAGGACCAATAATAATAATTTTATGTTTATTACTTTTTTTTTTTCAATAGAGCCTATGTAGTGCATTGCAATAGAAAGACTCCATAAATATTTGCTGATTGAATATGTTTTGTTGGCAGGCATCTCTGAGGAATATAACAGAATGTAATAAAACACTGATCTTCACTCCACCATGTAGTACCTTTATCCACTCAAATGTAGATGGTGCCACCACTGTCTATTACTATTTACTGACTTTTTTTTTTTTTTTCTTTGGGTAAACGCTTTCAAACCTCAGGACAATTATACTTCTCCTTTGCCTCACTTAAATAAAAAAAAGAGAGAGAAAGATTTTGTGATACTTATAATCCATCTTTGTCGACATGCTGGCATGCACTTCGATTATCTCCTGCTTTGACAATTCCAGTTGTTTTATTGTCATGGTTATTTTCCCTCTGTTTATTAACAGAATATGAAATGAATTATACTCATTTCTTATAGTAATTGACTACATTTTAATGAAAAACTACTCGAAAACTTTCATACTAGTGCAACTTCATTTTAATTAATGCTGATTCGTTATTCTTTATGGTTTCTCCCTATTGGATTCTCTACATTAAAAGCCTAAAGTATTTGTTCTGTGATGCCCTCTTTCTTTAAAATATCTCATTACCCATGTTGTACTCCACCTTCATTACTTTGCATCACTTTGTATTGTTTTTGTCCATGACTTTGATTTCCAAAAGAGACAAAATTTCTTCTTTTCTTTATGTGTAATATTTTAAATACTTCTCCATTTCAATTAGTTCCATTCTCTGCATGTATTCCTTGCACTAAAATATATTTACAATCATCTGAATGAGTTTATTTTACTGTTTACTACTTTACCTTTAAATATTATGTGTTGATAGAAATGTTTTTAAAATTATTTTGTGAAGATAATAAACCCTATCTTAGTACTTGAGTAAAATATATGTACATGCATTAATTGATGATGATGATGATACTTGAAGCTCATACAGAACATGTACTCTTCTAAGTGCATTGCATATCTTAACTCACTATATATGTGTATATACATGTACTTATGTATGTGGTTAAATTTACATACACTTCTGACCTTCATTCAATAATGTATCATAAAATATTTATACCAAGGTTATGTGTTTAAAGACCTGGTTAAACGTTTTCTTCCATGTTACACAATGTTGTGAATTTTTAAACTTCCAAAGGAAATCACACATGAGAAGAGGCTTTGCAAATTATAAAGCACTATGTTAATACATGGGAGCTCTGGTGGCGTAGTGCCTAAGGCATTTGACTGATAACCAGAAGGCTTGTGGTTCAAACCCACCAGCCACTCCTGTGGAGGAAGGTTGGGCAATCTACTTCTATAGTAATACCACCTTGGAAACCCAAGAAGGGGTCGTTATGAGTCAGATCCCACTAGATGGCAGTGAGCTTGGTTTTTGGGTTTATGTTAATATATATGGAGCACTGCTAGTGCAGTGCCTAAGGCATTTGACTGCTAACCAGAGGGTTGGTGGTTCAAAAACACCAACCATTCCATGGACTGAAGATGATGCAATGTACTTCGGTAAAGATTTACTCCCTTGAAAACCCAATGGGTTGCTATGAGTCAGAATCGACTTGATGATAGTGGGCTTTTTGTTTGTTTTGTTTGTTGTTGTTGTATATTAATATATAGTTTTACTGTAAGATTGGAAAGTTTTATGAGCAAAGCAATTAATAAGATATTTAGTTTGCATGGACCATTTATTCATGGAATCTTATTGTACAAATGCAAACTCTCTTTATTAGTGAGGATATTTTTGAAATTTCATCCATGAGGTTTTTATTCTTTGCCACATCTTACCATAAATAATTTCTTTTCCATTGTTGCTTAATTCTTTTGCAGCTATGTGTTTATTTATCAATCCTAGTAACATTTCTGGGTAACTTCCTTTAAATATTTTAGTGTGTTATCTTGTCACATCTATCAGGAATCCATTAATTTCTTCTCCTGTTTCCTTTTCTGTAGATTATAGATTTCTCTGTAATTCTGGTTCAGATGTTTATTTCCTGTATAACCCCTTCTTTCATTTTTCAAGTTTGTCTTCACTGATTTGACTTCATAGTTCTGAATATTCTCCCATATATGAATGAAAATAATCTTAATGGATTGCCATTGAATTATTTTACTACCATGAAACATGAATGTAGTGTGACATATTTTAAGAAAACTTCAGGATTCCCTAAAAAATGAATTCCCATCTCTTGGAATACATGTTTTTATGTACACAGTATTATAAAAGCATATCATATAAATAAAACTTAATCACGAATAAGCAGTTTTAATGAGCACATACTGTTAGTAACTGTATATCATCTATGCCATATATTTAGATGTGAGTGCAAACTAGGTTCATTATTATTTATTCTCATGAATTATATTTTTAGCCATTCTGGTACAAGTTTGTTAAAGCAAAATTTTATCAAATTTCCTAATCAGAAAAAAGCCAGAGGAATACATGTATATAAATAACTAAACATTTTACTAATTAAAAACCTATTTCTAAATTGGAAGGGAAATTTTTTTCAAACGGACACTAAAATTGTAGTTATTAAAAATTACACAGCCTACTTACAGAATGGATATTATTTATGTACAAATTTTAATTTGGAATTTAGAATGGCAAGCAAGATTAACATATTACTTGTACAATTAATATAAAACTTTCAAACCTTTCTAGAAATCCTGTATGGACTAGAAGTTGTGGGTGACAAAGACGTATGCTTTTATAATGATGATTTATAGGTATTAACAACCCATTCGGTTCATGCATATTCACCAGTTTGCCTTTGATAAAACTAATCAATTTTTATAGTCTAGTTTACATTTTTAAGTTACATAGCCATCTTCCACTGTATGGGATAAATTCTTCTTTAAATCTCCCCTAGTTTTATTTTCAGTCAATTTAGAGAAATAATAACTAACCCCACAAGAAACATATAAGGCACCTGAAACTTTTTGTTAATTATTTAAGACATTCTCCCATGAATGATTCCATCATCCCTTATCTTGTTGTTGTTGTTCTGTGCCCTGCAGTCAGACCCAACTCATAGTGACCCCTCCTTGGGTTTCCGAAGCAGTATCACTATGGAAGTAGATTGCTCCATCTTCCTTCCGAGGAGTGGCTGGTGGGTTTGAACCACCAATCTTCTAGTTAGCAGTCAAGTGCCTTAGGCACTATGCTACCAGAGCTCCCAATCATCTATTATAGGAGAATAAAGTATATACCACCTCCTATGTTTTATAGCTCAGAATACTAACAAGACAGTTCTTTAATTAGCAGAGATTATGTTCTGGAGAATTTTATCATAATTAATAGGTGGCATAAATTGCCATCTACAAAATTTCAAAGAAGACAACTAGTCTGCTAACAGTTTATATGTGTGTGTGTGTGGAGATGGATGTTCATCGTAGCCATTCTGTTACTAGGTCCTTTTAGACACCAAGACAGACATGGGTTGTAATAATAGCTCTATATCATATAAAATTGGACTGGAGGATGTGGTTCAGAACCAAAGACTAAATGAACTTAATACTTTTCTCTCTTTAATTTATCTTATCTCTTTAATAATAACCCTTACAGACAGGGTTTACCACAAAGAAAAAGAAGGAGAAAACATTTGATTTTGTGTGATCTCCAGGTAAAGAGATTCCAAGAAAAATCAAAGACAGAGACGAAAGTCTATGTGAGAGCAGATCAGATATGAAGACAATGGCTCTTCCCCAGAGTAAAATATAGAATAAAGTTCTTGTACTTCATAAATTAAATAATCAGATAAATCACTTCTCCTCTTGTAGTGAAAGGACTAGAAAAAACAATAATTTCCTCTCAGAAGTTCCATGAAAAGAAAAAGCTATAGAAAAAGTAGTTGAGAGGAAAGATCCATTTTATATCTTACACTGTTTTCGAGCACTCTGAAGGCTAAACAAGGTCCAAGGAGTATTCCATACAGTGTACTAAATGTTCATGGGAATTGCATTTACTAGCTCAGGTTCCATTACCCAAAATGAAAACACTTCTTCAGTGCAGCTGTCAGAATATAACCATTTATTTTCAAAGCTATGTAATGTGACTATTTTTCCAGTCAATAGTTGCCCTGGTTTAAGATAGTTTGACTTCTAGCTATAACCTAGTGCCTCCTCCTTATTTAGCTTCCTTCTAAAATTTTCTAATGAAAAAATAGTGAAATACATAAATCCTTTCAAAGGTAATCTTCCCCTGTGTTGCTTAAAAAGCTAAGGAAAAGCATGGGGCTAAATTTTACAAGGAAGATTTTTTAAATCTATAAGTGCATAACTATCATGAATGAAAGATTAGAATGCAAGATAATACATACCAAAGGTGATTATGACCAATTACTGAGTGGCAGGCCTGGGGAGTGTGAGGTAAAAACATCATGTAATCAGGTTTTATTTCACTGAAATTATGACTCAATTATATTTCATTCATTTTTTCCCCTTTACTTTTAAATTCAAGGAATTAGACATGGACATTCCATTGTACATCAACTGGATAAGGGCATCATATGCCATTATTTAAGAATCATCCTTTTGACCCTGTGGAGGTAGAAGATTACAAATGCTGGAAAAAGTGTTCGCCACTTAAAATTAATTAAGTACTGTTGATTGGCTCAGTAAATAACAAAAAATTAAAAGACAAAATATAGCCCACTTTATTTCTTATATATTTCAGGAAAATATTCTGAAATTTAAAATCCTTAGGGAAATGTCTATCTTACTTACACTGCTTTGCCTTATTTTTAAAAGAGCTTTGGTATCCTATATGCCAAAATTAAATTGACACTAATGATGATCTGGAAAATAATAGAGTTTGAAGCATAGGACCTATAGTTTAATCTTTTGTGGATGGCAGCAACAGTGAGCTTTGTATTTTTAGTTATATATTGCTTCAGTAATGAATTTTAAACAAATTCTTTGATTTCAAAAATAACCCTTCGATTACGCTGAATGGTATTGTTTGTTTTTGTCTGTTTTCTGGTTGAATTCAACTGATGTCTGTGCATTTTTTCATGAAAGGATATGAGAAATCCCGAAGCTTAAACAACATAGCGGGCTTGGCAGGCAATGCTCTGAGGCTGTCTCCAGTAACATCACCTTACAACTCTCCTTGTCCTCTGAGGCGCTCTCGATCTCCCATCCCGTCTATCTTGTAAACCAAACTGCATCAGTCAGCTAAATTGTATCAGTACAGATACTGTTTACCCCATAATGGAATTAAGTAAAAGTAGCGTTACTCCAGGCTCTAACAATAGAGTATAAATCCTGCATGATACTACTATTTGAAGTCAGAAATGCTACTTGGGTAGATAACGAATCTTATCCTGGCTTCAAAGATTATTTAAAGTAGTGCTACTCCTTCTCCGTATTAATTGCCCTGATTTTTCGCAATAAAATGATAGTATTGATATTGGCCAGTACACTAATCCATAAACGTATCTTCAGGGAGATATATATTTAAAACAATGTGCTTCCAAATGCCAACCACTCCATTGGACATTCATCCTTGTGACTCTAAACCATTCTAAAGATGTCTGGGACACTGTTTTGATTATACACAACATGACTTGGGTCAGTTCATATGCACGGACCATCTTATTTCTATCATCTGAGAATAATGTTGCAGAATCCGGGGACCACGGATGGCTTGGAATATGTGTGTTTGCATTGAAGCATGCTGCAGACATGAAAGCACTGGTCAACTCTTCTTCATTTCGAATGGTGGGGTGGGGTGGGCAAGTGTCTCCTTGACTTATTTTTCTTCATCCTCTGAAAGAAATATTTGTTTTAACTAGTTCAATTTCTTGATTAATTTACTTTTCTTAAAAAAAAAAAAATAATGCTGTATTGGAGTTCTGAATGTCTCTGGTTGTTCACACACAGATAACTGCAATGAGGTTGTTATTACTGGTTACATGCAAGCTGCGGTCAGATCTGTTACTTAATGCTTGGGGAAGGCACAAAACATAAGAGAAAGGTAACTGCCAGCCAGGCTTGCTTTGTTTAGCCAGGAAATACTGCTCGGTACTAGAGTCACTTTTTTTCTTATCCCCAGCATTTGTCATCATATTCAGAGACAGCGTGCCAAGTTATCACCCAAAGCTTTCATGTCTTTTTAACCTCTTTCCTTTATTTTTATCTTTTAATCTTTTGTGCAAACATCAAAGAGCATTGGTGTTCACAGAATGCTTTTCTGACCAGCCTTAAATTTCTGAATTACAGGATTAATCAGATTTTCAGGCAGTGTTTAATCAGGTGCTTTGTCCTGTACGTTGTTTCTGTCTGTCTGAGCTCCCTGTCTTAACTGTATATGCCATACGTCTACATGAAGCACAGAAATGCCTTGATAAGGTGTTCATGATTTTAGTACTAGATATCCTCTTTTTTGCTTTGTGTATAAATTAATGATGCCCGGTGGACTACCTAAGCTAATCAGTACTGTGAACCTTTTTGATAAGCAGGATTTAAGGAGCAATTGCACCATTGCACTTGGTTGCCTGCTGAAGCATCAATTTCTACTACCTAGCAACCAGCATTCATCATTACACTCTACCGAAACCCCCCGAGAGTTTTATTCAGTCTGAATGGGAGAAATTCTGTTTACACATCTCTATGAATGTAATAGCAATAGTGTGTCTAGTGTGGGCAGAAGAGGGAAGAAAAATGCCATAATATAAATTAAATGAAACAACACTCTCAAGGCATTCGAGATCCTTGAGACTGTTGGGTAATTCTTGACTTTCATGTTTATTTTTTGTTAGGAGCACAATTACCATTTTTAATATTGATCACGTAACATGTATGACTATATCTCCAAATCCTAGAGCATGACCTGCATGTCAGAGATCTTGTACAGCGATGTATTTATCCAGATGTACATTTCTGATATTTAAAGATTCAGTGACCCTTTTGATAACATCAAAGGAAAAAGTTATAATTACATACAGCTTTATGGTAAAGGAATTCATATACTGTCTGGTGCTGCTGTTATTGACTGCAGTGTTATACAGAATTTATCATGGATTTTTGCTGAAAAAGGGACAGTGGTATTTAGCCATACCATGGACTGTACTGGAAACAGACTTCTGCTGCTGAGTGTGCCCTCATGTGACCAGTTTGCACTTGGAAGAGGTACCATGTCTTCATAAGGCATTTAAATTGTGGCTGGAACTCATCTGGTGCTTGTGGTTTAAGTGGTCGCCTTGTGGACTGGCCAGTGTCTATGAAACAACTTGTAAATACCACCATGTGTGCATGGGTTAACCACTTTGGCCATTTTACATCAATGGAAGCCAAAATCATGGTCAACATCTTTGAAGCTTCAAGTAAACCCTGCACCTCTCTGTGTTACTCCTCATGAGCCAGCAGTAGGTTGTGCTGTGAATTACACAAGGCAGTGATATTGATGTAGTATAGGTCTGTCTTAACTTCTCTTACTTCTTCTATGTTAGTTGGATACATGAACATTGACTGTATCATTTTCTTATAAACCACTTATGTTATCAGCTTGTCAGTTATGTTGTGAAATTTTAGTGCCTATTTATTAAACTGCCCTATTTTTAGTCACATTCTTGTTTAGTTCTTGAAAAATTGTTACAACTGAAAAAAAAATCCACCTATGTTATTCATAGTTTTAAGTCTTTTGTCATTGTTACCTCAATTATAAATATTAAAAAAAATAAAATTCTGGCAGTAAGAATATTTTTTTATTAAATGATTAAGGAGCAATGTCAGTCTATAGTAGGATATTTAATTATATCCTAAAATGTATATTTTGCATAAAAAATATATTCTTCCATCAATTACTTTTTTGTGAGTTTTGTGGCAAATGAAGCTTGTACCTGTCTTTGAAACTGTTGTAGTTGAAATTGTTATAAGAATTCTTTACTGTGCTTAATCAATATTTCCAGATTCTGTTAGCTCCCCTGGGATTCAGAATATAACATAACCTAATTATGAGCCCCTGTATTGTGGACCTTTTGTGAACCTTTCAAGGTGCATGAACAACCTTGGTGATAACCAATAGAAATGTAACTAATAGGAATGAAGAATAAAAGGCAAATGAGCAGGGGATAAATTTGAATTCTGATTAAATTATTCATATTCTTTCTTGGCTCTTCTCTTTATTTTCTAGTTTTCAATAGGTTTTATGATTTTATGCTTCATGGGGCCAAAGCAGAAACTCATACATAAATAAATGATAATGAATGGATTTTAAAACATACATAGCTCTCACTTTTATTCAAATCTGAGGCATGTAGCTAGTGTTTTTTTTTTAATCTACATTCTTTCTCTATCTAAATTTCTCTTATAATTCTAACATTGCAAATGTGTTATTATGTTACCATATATGTATATCTGTGCCTACACCTATTATCTGTCTGGCGTTATAAGATTAAAACTGCATTTTCACTTACACTTTCCAGTTTAATGCTCATAGCAATTTTAGAGGCAAAAGTTTTTGTTTTCATTTTATTAATGGTAAAGTTGAGGATCAAAGGGACAGAATTGTTCATTAATATATTGCCACAGATAGTCTTACTACCACAGTTTCATTTGGTTTCAATATTTTCTCTTTCTTATTAGAAATATCCATATGGAACAAAGAACTGGATTTGGCCTTTTGACTCTGGTTTTTGAAAATAACCTTTAAATTCCTGAGTAATCAAGGTACTCTGTTTTTTTCTCAAAGAGCCAGGGAACACATCAACATATGCAATGAGTTGGGAGTCCCTCACAGTCCTGGCAACAGGTCTTGGAACAAACCATCACCCGCCTCCTCTAGTAGTCGGGTAGGAAAAAGTCTACATTGTGCTCCGTGTAGAATGTCACACAGGCTTTGGGATATAAACATGAATGGAGGAGAGATTTATAGGGTCTTTGGGATATGGTGCTAAGGAGCCCTGTGTCTAAGGCATTTGACTACTAAACAGAAGCTTGGCGGTTCAAACTCACCAGCCACTGTGTAGAACTGAAAGAAAACAGGGCCATCTATTTCCTACCTTGGAAACATAGTGAGGGTTACTACGAGTCTGAATGGACTCTATGGCAGTGAGCTATTTTTTTTGCCGGGAGTGGGGGGACTAACTATAGTGCTTGGTGAAAGCACGCATGGTAGAATCCTTCAGCCTACTGAACTAAGCCTACATAGTTAGAGGTGGAGGTCAGCTGAAAGTAGGTTCCCTTTGAGGCCCTTGGTACCTTCCCAGGTGGAGGGATGCATGGAAGAGTTCTCCATCTTCACTAGGACAGCTTCCAAAAGCCAGGGGTGGGGCCACTCGGTGAAACTGTTGCCTTTGAGTACCTCATCTATGATCCATGGTGCATCACGGAGTACATCACAGGGCACAAGAGGAAAAGTTTTCCACCTCCACCCTGACAGCCTTCTTGAGCCAGGGGGGGTCTGCTGTCATGGAACTTTTCCTGTTCTGTGCTATTTGCTACGTTTTGTAAGTAATAAAATGTACTTTCCATGTACACTGCTCACGCAATGGGAGCATCTTGGATTTTCAGACTCTATCTCGAAAGACATAATATTTATGGAAGAATCATTATCTGTGATCGATGCTCTTTTTCTAATGACCTTGCGGGTATTTAGGAATCTGGGGAAATCTGTAATTGCATCACACCTTGTTTTATAGAGATGGCCTCCGTCTCACTCATATGTAAAGGACCTCGGTTTCAGCATCACACCACACAGCTGGCATTCCATGTACAATGTGAGGGTACCTGTGGAATTACCCTGTAAAATTCTTTGAACTAATCCAAGATTATGGAAATGGTAAAGTGAGATAGAGAAATAAGGTTGACAAACCCAAAACTTTCCCACAATGCACCAGCAGAATCTTTTTCTGTCTAAAAATGCTCAGTGTTGATTAAGACTATTAAGAAAATGAGCTCAGAGAAGAGAAACTGTCCAAATATAATTACTGATAAATGTTTTTAACAATGGTATCTGCATGTAGGATCTACTGTAAAAAAGGAGAAATATGTAGGAAGAAGAAAGTCTCCTTTTAATATCCAGTGCCAAACTTCGATTAATTCTTTAAATTCTTGAACATTATTAAACAATATATACATACTAATTTTCTTTAATATGAATTCAATAGTATTAATATTGACTTTGGGTGCTTTGGTGGCGTAGTGCCTAAGGCATTTGACTGCTAACTAGAAGGCTGGCGGTTCAAATCCACCAGCCACTCCTCAGAAGGAAGATAAGACAATTTACTTCTGTAGTGATACTGCCTTGGAAACCCAAGGGAGGGGGTCACTATGAGTTGGATCTGACTTGATGGCAGTGAGTTTTTTTGAGAATATTGAATTTAAGTTTAAAAATTTCCTGTTCTCCCCTAAACTATCTTTATTTAGGGGATAAAATCATTTTCCTCGTTATTTAAAACTAAATAATTTAATTGATGTAGAATTGCATCATTCCCTTTGTAATTTATCACAAAATCATGCCAAATTGCTCAGTGACTATGCATTATGAATACTTAGAACTTTCGAAAATATGACAACATCCATCAAAAATCTCAGGTAATGAATGTAATACTCATTTCTGTATTTGGACCTCTTACCTAGATAGTGCAAATGTAGTTCTACTAATTCATTCTCCCAAGTGTCTATAATATTCACCACATATATATATATTTTTAAATCTGTCTCTTCAGTTGAAAATGTAAAATCAAAATGTAACATCAATACAGTAGAGGGTCAGTGAAAATGAGGAAGATCCTCAGTGAGATGGACTTACAGGGGCTGCATCAATGGGGTTAAGTATAGCAATGATTGTGGGGATGACATGGGACTGGCCAGTGTTTCGTTCTGTAGAACACAGGGTCCCTAGGAGTCAGAATTGACTCCTTTGCACCGAACAACATTATCCACCATCAGTCACTTTTTCTTTAAAGATAAAGATAGATAGATAGACAGGGAGATAGATAGATAGATAGTAAAAGCACTTAGAGAAATAAATAAAAAGAAGAAATGACTATAATTCTGTAATTTTACACTCCAGAAATCAAGTATTTTGGTTTTGTCGATTAGTATTTTCTCTTTTTGTTATGACTTTGTTTTATATTGTTTCCATACAGCCTTCATCTACCTTTTTAGTCTCTGTTCATCTTTTGTACATCTGTGTCATATGAACAGGCTCATGGAAACACACCAGGGTAGTGCAGGTGACTAAGACATCATATCTACCATTGAAGAACGCCATCTAGTGTTTTATTCTCTAATCTTGGCTGTGCATCAGGAAAATTATTGATGCTTTTTATAAATAACAGATATCTGTGTTCAACCCTAAACCTATTGAAACTGTCTCTGGAAATGAGACTCGATATATATTATTTCAAAGAAATGAGTCTTAACACATGCATCATTAAGCAAAAATCTCTCCACAGGTGATTCTCTTGTCAAGTCTGGCCAATAATGGAAGATAGATATTTGAAATTAAATTAGATATAAATGGATAACATTCTTTTCTAAATTTTATTTTCACTAAAGTTCATGGTCTTAGCAATTAAAAGGTAAAATTGATGCACAATTGTCTATAAGGTAGTGATTCATATGTATTCATTCATGCAACATTGGTGGTTCAGTTGTAGAATTCTCACCTTTCATGAAGGAACCTAGGTTTATTACTAGCCAACGCATTTTATGCTCAGCTACTATCTGTCAGCAGAGGCTTGTATGTTGCTATATGGCTAAAGAGGTTTCAGTGTAGCTTCCAGACTAAGACAGACTAGGAAGAAAGGCTTGGCAGTATACTTCCAAAAGTCAGTCAGTAAAACCTATGGTCACAGTTCCCCTATCCACAACTGATCACAAGGATGACACAGGATTGAGCAGTGTGTCATTCCGCTGTGCATGGTGCCCCCATGAGTTGGGGAAACTCTACATCCACTAACAATAGCAACAAGCCATTCACCATTTTTATTTATTTATTTTTTGTTTATTATAACGACCATAGTGTTGAACATTTTTCATACCCATATAAAAAATTTTCCTGAAAATCATTCCCAGCATTAGATCCTTAGGTCAAAGAGCATGAACAATTTTATGACTATACTTAACCACTACTTTCTAAAGGTTCTATCAATGTTATATTTTCATCAATAATAAATGAAATTAACATAATCAGAACAAATATAATTTGATAAAAATGCTTACACTAATTTTATGCATGTGGTAAAATATCAATGCCCTATACTTTAACAATGAATATTTATTAATTTTTGTTTGAATTCAAAATATAGAAAATTAGCATTATTTGAACCATTATAGAATTGTAGAAACATCACATCCCTAGTTACCCTGTATATTAGCAGACTAAGTATTTTTATTAGGAAATTCTTTTGCTCATAATTATCAAATGTGATTCCAAGTCTGGGATAACACTGTTTATTACAGCACTTTGCATTTTTTGTAAATCCACAAAGCTCTTATGTTTGCTTTTTCAATGTGTTTCTTATAATAAAAATGAGAACAAAATATTCCATGTTACTTAAAACCAAATAACTTATTTTTTGGGGAAAAATAAATTTTGGGGACTTTCTTAAAACTTAAACACTTAGAAGTTTTCCTATAAATGAAGAAAAGCTAATATCTCATTGAAATAATTAAAATACTTTGTAATTAGTGGAAATTTTACTTTTACAACAGGAGAATTGAAGAAGTGACAAGGAACCATTTAAAAATACTATATTATGAGTCGGGGCCGACTCGACAGCACATAACAACAACAACAACAACATATTAAAAAGGGAGCTCCAAGAGCA